CCTGTGTTAAAATAGTGAGTTACAATGGCTATTTATAGTGCTTGTGGATCCTATCTTTAGGAGTTTAAATCATAGTAGAACTTTATCCTATTTTTAGGAGTTTGAATCCTAGCAAAATTTTATCCTATTTTTAGGAGTTTGAATCCTAGTAGGACGAAAAGGTGTGTTGACACAATCGAAGAATTAGAATTGATTCAATTCAAACAAGGCTAAGGTGAGTGCGTATTAGTGATGTATGATGAATGGAAATAAGACTTGCGATGAGTCTATTTCCAATAGTAGTATACATGAATCATAAATATGTGCATGTGATTGATATGAGGATATGTGATTATATATATATTTTTCATGGTTGTGTGAGCATAGGTGAATGTATGGAATCTATGTGACATGATAAACGATAATAGAGATATAAGGAATTGTATAAATGGAATTATGATCTAAAATATGTAGTGTTTTTATGTGATATAAAGTATAGTACAAAGAAGATAGGAAATCATATGAGAAGTTTATGGGAATTGAACAATACAAATAAGCTATATGATAGGTGATTACACATGCTACATGATATATGTGATCAATTATAAGAATCAATATTATTAAATTATATGACTAAATGAGGATAATATATTAATGAGGAGACTTGAACATAATAGATGATACGAAATTGTAAGATAATTAATTTAAGAAATAATTATATACTCAAAGGAAACTATATTATAAGAGTTATGTAAAATTAACCTAATAGAAATGATTTATATGAGTAAATGGAAGAGTGAGACCAAATCGATAGGATTTACTTATAGGATACACGAGATTACTTGTTTATGTTAAATAATCTAAATAGGAATAAGTTAGGAAATTACATGTGAATTGATATTTAGTTAGTTGAGTTATATGATATATTAAGTATGTTAAAGTTATGTGATTATGAATGATATGACGTGAGACATATGAAAGAGAAAGTATAAGTGCTATGATTATATGAGTACAAAATACAAAGTATGTTAAAAGAGACATGTGATTACATGAAAGTATTATATGAGTTATATGATGTGCATAGATGAATATTTGATTATGTGAAAGGATAAAAGATAATGCCCATGATATGAATCATGAGAGCTAGAGGTATAGTTGGCATGCCAAGAGTCGAGGGTTACCTATGTCTTTCAAGACATATGGATAGTTTACCTATGTCCTTCGGGACATATGGACAGGATTACCTGTCCTTCGGGACATATGGGCAGTTACCTATGTTCTTCGGAACATATGGATAGGTCCTTCGGGACACAGATTTCATATGCCACTTAGTGGATTTTATACGAGCTGTGGTGACAGCATATGTGTGCACAACCTCATAGTACTCGTATACCTTTAGTTCTCAATAGTGTACATGGGCTTATAAAAGATGTAAAGAGTATGTACATGTTAACATGTTATTATTGTTTATACTGACTTCTATATGACATTGTGGATTATAATATTATATGCATAATTGTTCTTAGATAATTGATTACATGTTCATAATTATAGAAATTCTTTATCATATGTTTATGCCTCACTAAGTCTATGACTTAGCGTGTAAGTGATTTACACGTAGGTACAGGAAAGCAAGAGGACCAGCCTTAGGATTGGCGGAGCAGATATCTTCACTAAAAGATCATATCAGAAGTAAATTCATAGTACGTATTTTGTGGAGTCAAAAGTTTTGGCATGTACAAAAGTGTAATTTATGCATGCTTTGATCAATTTTGTAATAGTTTGAACTTCAGTATGTAATTATAAGTTTTATGTTAATAAAAGTTTAAATTTCCCATAGTTTTTATGAATGTATATGTTTTGAAAAGTCAATGTGACACCTCGGACTCGTATTCAGGTCGGGTACGGGTTGGGGGTGTTACATGTAGGACGTGAAATTAGGTAATCGTTTAAGTTTTAGTCAGGTCCTGTCAGGTTAGGTTAACTCAGATACATGTCGTGTCAGGTCAATTATAAACCAGTTCGGGTTATTTTCATGTTTATTTTACCATCAGATTCAGTTCGAGTTTAGATCGGGTTAAATTCAGTTCGGATTGATGCCAGTTCAGGTCAAAACGGTTCAGGTCCAAATTAGTTAAATTACAAGTTAATTCAGGTTTGGATGGAATTCAAGTCGGATCTCGTTCATATCGGGTCACATCATTGACAGACAAAATTTAAGTCGGATCTTACCGGGTACGAATTGATTTCAGGTCGGGTCATTTTCAAGTTAATTATTTTTCGTCTTTCATTAATGACGAATTGTAATTTTTAATTGTATATGATTTGGAGTAAATTACAAAAAATATAAATAATTGTGAGTCATTTTTAATAAAAATATAATTTTAATGACTAAATTGAACAAACAAGAATTTACATAAAAAAATTAAATAAATTAAATAACACGAATGTATGAGGCATCAAATCAAAATATAAATAAGTATGGACCATTTTCATATACAAATATAATTTTAATGACTAGATTGAAGTAAATCACAAAAATATAAATAAATATGTTCCGATTTCATATACAAATATAATTTTAAGGATTAAATTGAACAAATATGAAATTACAAATTAAAATTTAAATAAATTACACAACATGTAGGGACCAAATCCAAAATAATTGTAAAATATGAAACTAAAATTAATATAAAAATGGATTGAATTGCATTTATTTTAAAAGTTGAGAAAAAAAATTAAATCAATTTTAATATATATATATATATATATATATAATACATATAATGAATGTTATGATAATATGATAATGCATGTATATATAATGTACACTACACTTATATTATAAGTATATATATATATATAATGTTATGCATATATTATAAGTATATACTTATATAAATATATAATATATATATAACTATACATTATACTAATAAGTATATATATATTTATACATATGTATACTTATACCTATATATATAATTACACACACATATAAAAGTATCCATATATAGGTATGTATATAAATATATATAAGTATAAAGTATAATATATAAGTATGTATATATAAGTATATATAAGTATATATGTATGATGTATATAAGTATATACATAAGTATATATATACATAAGTATATATATATATATATATATATATATATATATATATATATATATATATATATATATATCATTGAACATAAGTGACTAAAATAAAAGATTCTAAAATTAATATTCACATTTAATAATTGGGCACATTAAAGAAAGAAGAGAAAATTAAAAGTAATTAGAATGTATACAATACTAAATTGCATTGAATTGAAAATTTCAAAAAAAGATTTATAATTAGACCATGACTAAAATGAAAGAAATTAAAAATCAAATTACAAAATAGAAAACTACTGATTGTTAGAAGACCACGTTTCTAAGTAACTCAAAAAATCTATTTTTTTCGAGAATAAAATCAATTTTGAAATTACAAAAGACGCCAACATTTGTCAAAAAAATAAAATTTCCTTCTTTCCTTTTCTAAATTCCCAAAAAAATCAATTTTTCCCTATTCCCTCGTCTAAATTCTCAAAAAGTCAAAATTTTCCTCTTCTAAAATTTGTTAAAATTTGGCAATTCCCTCTTCTAAATTTCTAAACAATCAATTTTTCCCTCAAAAACAATTTTTTTTTAAAGTTCTCCCACCACTCATGTGAATGCATGTATGTGTATATATATATAAAAGTTTAATTTTTATTTTAAATTGATAATTAAATTTTAAAATTTAAAATTTTCAGTCTCAAGTAAATTATTTTTATATGTTTTTTTAAAATTTTAAATTAAATTATATTTAAATTATTAATTAATACATATAAATAAATTCAACTTATAAATATTTAAATTAATTTTATATAATCTAATAAAATCATGTAATAAATAAATTATTTAATGAAATTAATTTATTGATTATAATTAAGATTTATAATATAAGGATTATAATTATTATAGAAAGTAAATTTATTATTTTAATTATCCTAACTAACAATTTATATTAACTTTTAAAGAGTAATTATATTAATTATCATAGTTTATTTAATTGTCAAAAAATTATCATAACTAACAATTTGTTTTAACTTTTAAAAAATAATCATATTTATTATAAATTCAAAATCTCACAACTTCATCAATTGTAAGTCAAGTAAATATCATTTTAATTTAATAATAGGTCGGATTATTTACAAGTTGAGTCAATTACAAATCAGGTTTATTACATGTCAGGTTGATAACAGGTCATGTAATATCAGTTATTTACCTGGTTAATCTCAGGTTCAGGTTCATATCAGTTCGAGTACAGGTTGTAAATTTCGAAGTCCAACTCGAGTTCAAGTCAACACCAGTTTAAACTTGAATCGATTTCGGATCACCACCACCTCGGATCATAAATAGTTTTGACTCAAATCGATTTCAAGTCGAGTAAATTTTTTACAAACTTGTTTATAAAATGAGCTTTATACATTGAGGTCGAATCTTAAGTCTAATAGAAAAGATGAGTATGATTAACACAATGATGCTATGAAAGCATTCAACACAACATTGCTAAAATCATAACCCAAAAAAAACAAAGAATTTGACCAATCACCAATCCAATGTCCTCTCACCATCAACCATCCCCAACATCATCTCTTAATAAAATAGGCATTTTCCCACATCATTTGACTTCAAAAATAAATCTATAAAATAAAATAAAATGAATGAAACACGAGTATGGAGGAAGACTCAAAAGGCTAGAGTAGGCATATGTGTTTGACAGGTAGTCAATGGATCATTAAAGGTTTCAGAATTCACAAGCCTAACATCTGCAATGCTCTTTGCCACAGTGCTGCAAAATGCCAAATAGGCTTTTACATTACAGATTATACCCTTTTTTTTCCCTATGATTCTGGGTCTGCCCTTCCTCGCTTTCTTTTTTTAAGGCAAGTCATGGCAGCCCCCCTCCCTTTTTATTCTCCATCATCAACCAGACACAGAGAACCTCAGCAACTAAAAACCCAATCTTTTTCTCTTTGAGCTGTCAGTATCTCTAAAAAGGTTCTTCTTTTTTTTTGCAATGGAAGAAACAGAAGATCACCATGTGAACAAGAAATGCACTGCCAAAACCAGGGCTTTCAAGGGCAGGACCAATCCTAATCACCAGCACCCGTTGTTGCAATACTCAAGCCACTTTGGGTTGTTTAACCAGAATCAGTTCAGAAGTTACTCTTACTACCCTGCTTTGCTTCCTTTGCCTCCTCCAATACCTTTGCAACTGGCTTTAGCTCCACCTCCCTCTCAAAACCCAACCTTTCAAACAAAAACTTGTTTTCAGAAACATTCATGTAACGCCAATGATTCTCCTCTTGCCACCTCCTCTGTCTCTGATTCCCAACTCCCGGTTGTGGCAATGAAACCAGGTCACTGATATTCCAATTTGTTCTTCACCATACTTCCTCTACATGTATATCATTCTTTTTTTAGATTATGAAAGGGTCTTCTTCAGCAAAACATATTAAAAATAGAATCTTTCTTATATTTTTGTATTCAAATGTCTTACCTTATATCTCTTTCGTTTTTAGTCATCTGCAAAAGTTATAAATTTATAGCTAGAAATGATATGCCTTGTTAATTCTTATATTTCAAACTCTTGAAGTTTATAGAATACAAAATCTTTCTTAACTTTTTTTCCTTTCAATAGACCAATCAGCTCCACAGGGGCTTCATGGAAGAACAAGTTTACCATTTAAAGGAAGTAATGGAAGGAAGAGCAGGAGTACTACAAAGGAAGCACTAGTGGCTTCTAGGAGACCAGATTCTGGTGGTGTTGAAGGTCATGTAATCACTCTCCTTGCCAACCATTTTCTTGTAAAATTTGACCCCTCTCTAAAAATTTACCATTATAATGTTGAAATATCTCCTAATCCCTCTAAGGAGGTTGCTAGATTGATCAAACAGAAACTAGTGGAAAACAACTCAGGTTTACTCTCTGGTGCTCATCCAGCATATGATAGCAGAAAGAATATTTACAGCCCTGTTGAGTTCCAAAATGATAAGCTTGAGTTCTTTATTAGTCTCCCAATACCCACCACCAAGTCTAGTTTGCCTTTCGGGGAACTAAATTGCATCCCGCAAAAGCAGAACCAGCAGCTTAAAGTGTTTCGGATTAATATCAGACATGTTTCGAAGTTTGATGGGAAGGATTTGAATAGTTACTTGAGCAAGGAAGGTGATGATTGGATCCCACTCCCTCAGGACTATCTCCATGCTTTGGATGTTGTTCTTAGGGAGAGTCCGATGGAGAAGTGTATATCGGTGGGGAGGTCATTTTATTCGAGTTCGATGGGAGGAACTAAGGAGATTGGAGAGGGAGCTATTGGATGGAGAGGTTTCTTTCAGAGTCTTCGGCCTACACAACAAGGATTAGCTCTCAATGTCGATTTCTCCATCACTGCCTTCCATGAGAGTATTGGAGTTATCCTGTACTTGCAGAAGCGGCTGGACTTTCTTCGAGGCCTTTCTCAAAGGAAAACAAGGAGTTTGAGTGATGAAGAAAGGAGAGAAGTGGAGAAGGCATTAAGAAATATCAGAGTTTTCGTTTGCCACAGAGAAACTGTTCAGAGATACCGAGTTCATGGATTAACCGAAGAAGTTACTGAAAATCTCTACTTCCCCGACAGAGGTGGAAAGAATTTGAGGCTTGTTAATTACTTTAAGGAGCACTACAATTATGATATACAGTTCAGGAATTTGCCATGCTTGCAGATCAGTAGGAGCAAACCATGCTATCTTCCCATGGAGCTTTGTATGATTTGTGAAGGCCAGAAGTTTCTGGGGAAACTTTCCGATGATCAGACTGCGAGGATTCTTAAAATGGGCTGCCAGAGACCAAAAGAACGTAAAGCCATAATTGATGGAATCATGAAAGGACCAGTAGGACCTACAAGGTAATGTTTTAGAATGATATGAAGGATTCATTCTGTTCTCTTGATATTCATTATATGCTTCTAAGGATTTGCATTTTTTCTTGACAGTGGCAACCAGGCAGAAGAATTCAAGCTCCATGTTTCAAGAGAAATGACTTGGTTGAATGGGAGAATTCTTCAACCTCCCAAGCTGAAGCTTGGTGACGGTGGACACATAAGAGACATCACTCCTTCCCGCCGCGATCGTCAGTGGAACCTGCTGGACAGCCATGTCTTTCAGGGAACACATATAGAACGGTGGGCGCTTATAAGTTTCGGGGGCACCCCCGAACAAAAGTCTAACATCCCTAAATTCATAAACCAGATGTCTCAAAGGTGTGAGCAGCTTGGGATCTTTCTTAACAAAAGAACAATTGTGAGCCCTCAATTTGAATCAACAGAGGTTCTCAGTAATGTGTCTCTTTTGGAATCCAAGCTCAAGAAAATTCACAGAGCTGCTTCAAACAACCTCCAGCTGCTCATATGCGTAATGGAGAAAAAGCACAAAGGGTATGCGGATTTGAAGCGAATAGCAGAGACAAGCGTGGGAGTTGTAAGCCAGTGCTGCTTGTATCCGAACCTTGGGAAGCCGAGTTCACAATTTCTTGCAAATTTAGCGCTGAAGATCAATGCCAAAGTTGGTGGTTGCACGGTTGCTTTGTACAATTCATTACCATCTCAGATTCCACGTCTTCTCCGTCCTGATGAGCCTGTGATCTTTATGGGTGCCGATGTCACTCATCCTCACCCTCTTGACGATTTCAGCCCATCTGTTGCTGCCGTGGTTGGTAGCATGAACTGGCCTGCAGCAAACAAGTATGTATCTAGAATGAGATCTCAAACACATCGAGAGGAGATAATCCGGGATCTTGCTGCAATGGTCGGAGAATTACTCAATGATTTCTACCAAGAAGTAAAGAAACTACCGAAGAGAATAATCTTCTTCAGAGATGGTGTAAGCGAAACTCAATTCTACAAAGTGCTTAAGGAGGAACTGCAAGCTGTTAAAGAAGCTTGTGCAAGGTTTCCAGGTTATAAACCTCCTGTTACTTTCGCTGTAGTTCAGAAGAGGCATCATACAAGGTTATTCCCATTTGAAACCGATCCTTCGACTCAAAACAACCTTTCGACGAAAATATTCCCCCAGGGACAGTAGTGGACACAGTGATAACTCATCCAAAGGAATTCGATTTCTATCTTTGCAGTCATTGGGGGGTGAAGGGTACTAGCCGCCCCACCCATTACCATGTCTTGTGGGATGAGAACCAATTCACTTCCGATGAACTGCAGAAGCTGGTCTACAATCTATGCTACACGTTCGTAAGATGCACCAAGCCCGTCTCTCTGGTGCCGCCTGCATACTATGCACACCTGGCTGCATATAGAGGGAGGCTTTACCTCGAACGATCGGAATCCGTTACATGCAAAAGAAGTTCTTCCACAATCTCACGTGTAGCTCCTCCAAAGGCAACACCATTACCAAAACTAAGTGAGAACATTAAGAAACTCATGTTTTACTGCTAAACTACAAGTCCTACATGTCAAGAATTCTTGGCAACAGTAGGTTAAAATCTAGCATTTTGAATACATGTAGGTATGCCTCAAAAAATATTTTCTTAGTAGCATTTTCAGTTTTTCTCTTAATTATATAATTGATGAATACTTGCATATTCAATAACTGCAGATAGCACATGGATAAGTTGAAGAACAATAAAATCAATAATGATGTGAACTAAAAGGAGTAACCGAGTAATGAATGGCAAGAACTCTGCTGTAATGAATATTTGGTATATATGAATATCTATACTCATGGTCCCATTGATGCATGCAGTTGTTCATGATTTCAACAATAATTTATTCATGAAAAATACGTTAGCAAAATGGTTACCAAAACATACTACAAAAAACCAAGTCAGCTTTTAAATGAACAAAAGGAAAAAGGCAAGAGAAGAGGGTGGGTCTGAAGAAAGAAGGGGAGTGAAGTCTGACTTTGGGTTTTGCCTTCTGTCTCTGATTCTGAATGCTTCTGAGTATGGGGTTTACTGTAGAAGAGACAGAAAGGACTCTGCCACCCGGACCCCACACATGGATGGTTTTTTCTCACACAGCCTCCACCACTCCGTTGTGTGATATAGACACGAAACGTGGATCATCATCCATCGTCCGATCTTCTTATCTCCATTGTTAGGGGTCAGAGCTCCCTCGTTTCTGCATTTGAACAATGAAAGGATCATTTTTTAGCAGTGAAATAAAACGTGAAGATGAGGAGTCAGGGCTGAGTTGATTCCTTGTGTGGGTGTCATTCATCAACGAAGGGTCATCCGACCCATCCCATCCCATCTCTGTTTTGTTATTCTTTCTTGGGATATTGTTGGTTGTGGGGCGTCAAATAAACACAAAAAGATAGCTGCTCATTTCACATCAATCCCATTCTCACCCCAACTTGTTGTTTCCCCACGGTCAGAAATCATTCCCCTCTGGCTCTTAAATGGACCTCTCTACTGTCCCTTGTAGTAGAATCGGATTTTCAAACTCTAAATAATCTAAATCTGAAATAACTCGAAATATCTTTCTTATAAATACTAAACTACCAGAAGAAGCCATGGAACCTTGGAATCGGAGCCTTGCCCATGGTTTCTGTCGCATTGTTGGCAGATTTTAGGCGTTAAATTCATTGATTCTGATCAAACACTGACATTTCAACGATTCAGGTAACTATGCTACTCAACCTATTTACAACATTTTACACCACTGCTGCATTTGAACATGTTGAATTATAAAATCTTTTCCTGTGAATACAGAAGTTACACTCGGAAACCACTTTCTCCACCTAATTCTTCCTCAGATATTTAGATCAACTTTAAAAACATGGCAGTTTGCGGCTTTAGGGATGAACAAGGAGTTGACAAGGTGCCCATTTTTTGTGTAAATTTTAAATTTTTATATAATTTAGATATATTTTTTTATTTTTTTATTGATAATATATTTACTCTCAAAATTTTATAATTTCGCCCTGTTATGTGTGCCCTGAATATAAAGATTATTCTCTTATCCGCTTTAAGGACATAACTCGGGCTATAAACAAAGATAAGTAATGATCTTTTATTTGACATGTATACGTCTTTTCTATGGGAAGTTTGGTTAACGGAATGTAAGATTATATTTGGAAATAAGATTATCGAAATGTATCGTTAATCTAGGAATATTATACTATCTTGTTTAATTTGTTTAGCAGGAATGTAAGATTATAGTGTTTGGTTGACGGAATATAAGATTATTTGGATGCATATTTTATCAAATCATCTTGTGATATATATATTTTTTAATAAATAAAACTTTAATATTAAATTATAAATATTTGAATGAATTTTTTTAATTATTATACTATATAAGTTTAAAGAAAAATACATTTAACATATAATTAATATAATTAGTATATTAAACTTATAATTTTAAATAAATTTTCATAAGTATCATATTTATTTATATAAAATATAATATAACATGAAAAATAATATTTTGATATTGAGTAGACAAATATATTATTTTTCAATGTATAAGATCTATTTTTTAATAACTCAAAATTAAATATTATTTTAAATATTTACATTTTTACGATAATAATATTTTCATCTCATAAAATTATAAAATAATTAATATATTAAATATTAAAAATATAAAATATAAAATAATTTTAACTACTTAAATTTATTAATATTTTATTAAATTAAACTCTTTGTACATTATTATTATTAAGTTTATAATTTAGAATAAAACATGAAAATTAAAAATTGAGAATGATCCATATGAAAAAAAAATTATTATTTCAAGGGTATTTTTGTTCAAAATAGTGAGAATTGTTCATTACCTAAGAAATTGAAGGAAATGACATTCCCACCCACTATATTAGCAAAAAAATAATACCATTGATAATAAGTTATTACCTGGTAATAATATTTTTCCGTGAACCAAACATGAGAATACAACTTCGGAAAATATCATTCCCCTTGATAATAATCTTTTTCACGAACCAAAAGACCCCTTAGAAAGAAATTTGATGCCTCAACCCTTCATCGTTGTGATTATGATAAACATATGCAGAATTTTATATTAGGAGTGAATTTATAAAATTTTAAGAGGTGAAAATATATTATTAATAAAAAAATATATGAGAATTTAAAAAAAAAAAAACACTCCTCCGTGTGTCCTTGTTCCAAAGGAAACATGTATTGGTAATAGACTCGAGCAACCTAATCCAAATGATAAAGATCAACTTGCAATCCAATACAATATTCAACAAGGGATCAAATACAAGCAAAGAAATGGCAATATCAATATATATATATATATATATCGCCTGTTTGTCCAATCCAGGAATCCAATCTGGAATTGTGATAGGCTGGGTAACCCAAATTAGACAATCATTCTCAACTTTCTCACCTTGAGGAACTTGGACTTGCTAATACTGGTATGGATGACAAGGAAGCCAGCATTTATCAGAAGGCTCAAGGGTGATGCAAGTTTTCAAAATTTTCAATTGACATGCGAAATGGATTCGACAAAACAGTGCCAAAATATCGGACCAAATTGGATGCAGTGGTAGCACTAGTGGGAAATGGGATCAATGTTCCACTTCATTCTGCTCCATTTCCTCACTCTCACAAACAATGTTAGTCACTAGGACAAGTTAAACAGAATTCATACATATTCTAGTTGTATGTGCTAAAAAACACGCCCCTTCTACGGTTCTCTTCCGGGATCTGAAGCAACTCTCGAATTCCTTCACAAACCTACAGTGAGTGTAAATGATCATTGCTAATGCCAACCAAAACAAAATGGTCACCCATGAATATAAATCTTCTTTAAGACATACCAGCGTAATCTGTGCTTTAATTGATGCAACTAAGCGGGTATACTCCTCTATTTGCCTGCATAGAGACTTTGAAGAAAAAAATCACTTGAGAAAGAAAAGAACAGACCATAAGCTATACGATTTGATTATTCTCAGCTTAACACGTGAAGGATTGGAATCTTATGATCATATTCCGTAGCAGAGGCCAAAGCCTGTTTGTGTTCCTTCAAACTTTAACCTCAACCATGGAACTATCTTGATGGTTGAGGCCAAATTTACAGCTAAAGTGATGATGAAGAAAAGGTTGAGTTTGGCAAAACCAGCTCCTCAAGTCATATTCGAAAACAGGAGATGATGGATGAGGTTTCAAGATTCCTGTTAACATTGCATCAGCGGATACCATAGGGATATTAAACCAATGATCCTTGCATAACATGTTAGGTTCCGCGACGAGTGAATTATACAAAAAATTCTATCTGACTGACAAGAAACAAGTAGACTATAAGCGAATAAGAGACATAGAAGCTTCCAAACAAAGCTGCTTGATCTATTTAAGAAAAATCGTATACTTTTCAAGCTTTTCCTCCCTCAGTGAGATGAACTTCAATGCTTCTGACCAGGTGAACTCCACATGGAACCCAACTCCAATATCCACAAATATACGTTGTGCATCTGGACTGTAAACATCAAAAGGAAGCCCCCAGAACACCACAACACAAGCACGCAAACATCAAAATGAAATAAATAAATAAAACGAAGAATTAAACGTAGGATGTCCGAATTCACAAGTCAATCCATAAAGTAAAAACATGAACAGCCTTATTCATGATTGCAGCAAGTAAAAGAACTATACACAGGTTTATGATAAGACACCAAAGAAGATAGACAGAGAAGACTTACACTTCTGCTTGCATGTACACTTCAGACCCAAGATTAACCAATGTCCGAAGACTAGTTACACCGTTTTTCTCTAAACTTTCTATGTTCTTTCGCAAATCCGAGCTACCGAAGTGTCAAAGTAAACTGTTATGATTTAGGATCAGAATTAGAAGAATATTAGGGATTTCAGAAATAGAGAGATTTTAGGTACAGAAAACGTTCTTCATTCATAAGATGAAAAAATCCTTAAAGGATTGGTACAAGTTATATATCTACATTACCAGCTGTCCAAACAGAATCTAAAACAAAATAACCACATATGCTGACTCACCATTCCCTCTTCTATCACTAGACTCTTCTAACAAACTCAAGCCCAATCTCAAAGGCCCAACAGTAATTAAAAGAGAAGAATTAACCTATAGACCCATTAACCCCTCATATGCCTCAGTCGACTCTTCTAATCTCTTCAATTCCCAATTCTTCAGGTATCTCGATCCCTAGCCTTCCAGAGAAATCCCTAATTTCCTTCGAGTCTCCCCCAATTTCTGTTGTTTCTTCCCAACTCTTCCCTTCGCGATTTCCCCCAAATCAACACGATCAAACCCTAACCTTCCTGTCATCATAACAATACCCCCTTCTCCAGATGATTCTTGTCCCCAAGGATCGAACTGAGGAAATTGTTGTCTTAAAACTGTATAATCCTCCCAAGTTGCCTCTGTCTCTCCCATATTCGTCCACTGAATGAGCAGTTGAATGACTGCTCGATTCTGTCTTGTAATCACTCGCTGATCCAAAACAAGGGCTGGGTAAATCTTCAATTGTCCATCCAGCGCGACCTCTGGAGGATCGATCGAGATAAGTCCTTTGTTCCCTACTTTCTTTTTAAGTAAACTCACGTGAAAAACTGGATGGATCTTCGAATTTGCTGGCAACTCTAGTTTATAAGCAACTTGACCAATTTTGTTTTGTATCTTGTAGGGTCCAAAATAACGAGCAGCAAGCTTCAAATTTCTTCTGAGGGCCAGTGATGTTTGTCTATATGGTTGAAGCTTCAGGTAAACTTCATCGCCAATTTGAAACTCCATGTCTGTTCTATGCTTGTCACTCATCTGCTTCATTCTGTTAGAAGCTTTAAGTAATTGCTCTCGTAGTAGTAAATTTAACTGTTCCCTGTGTTGCATGACATCTTTCACTGCTTCTACCCTAGATTATGTTGTCCATGTCACATTAGGGGCTTTATACCCATATATAAAGCTTCAAATGGTGTCATCTGTAGAGAAGAGTGGTAGTTAGTATTGTACCACCACTTAGCCTGAGCTAACCATTTGGACCAAGTCTTTGGTTTCAAGAAACACATACACCTCAAATACTGCTCCAAGCACTGATTCAACCTCTCTGTCTGGCCATCTGTCTCAGGATGATAGGCAGTACTAAATAATGTAGTTGACCCCAATTGCTTCATTAATTCTTGCCAAAACAGACTAGTAAAAGACTTGTCCCTATCAGAAATAGCCACCTTATGAGGACCATATAATTTGTAAACATGATCAAGATAAAATCTAGCAACCTCCACTACTGTATAGGGATGAGATAGTGGCATAAAATGAGCATATTTAGTGAATTTATCAATCACCACTAAAATGCAATTATACTTTGTTGAAGGTGGCAATCCTTCAATGAAGTCCATTGTAATCACTTCCCAAGCATTGTTTGGGACTGCAATAGGCTGTAACAACCCTGGCTTAGAAATATGTTCTATTTTAGTCCTCTGACAAATATCACACTGATGTATATGCTCCTGAACTTGAATTTTCATCCTTGGCCAGAAAAAATAAGACTTAATTTTCTGATAAGTAGCTTGAATTCCTGAGTGACCTCCTTGTGGTGAATCATGCAAAGCCACAATTATATTCTGCCTCAAATTCCCTTTGCTGCCCACATAAATCCTATTTTTGAAATACAAGACTCCCTTCAGTAATTTTCAGTCCTGTAATTGATCTGGATTAATAACCAGAATAGGTTTATTTTCTTGAGCTAGAGCATCTTCTTCATAACTCTTTTCAATATCTTGTATCCAAGTAGGAGTTATAACAGTAACTCCCATTTGATCAAATTCACCAGAATCCATTTGTTGTCTAGAGAGTGCATCTGCAGCTTTATTAGACTTACCCTTCCTGTACTGAATAATATAATCCAACCCCAATAACTTGTAAGCCCCTTCTCTGAATAGTTGTAGTTAACTTCTGATCAAGTAAATGTTTCAAGGACTCATGATCTGTTTTAATGACAAAAAAACCACTCTCTAGATAATGCCTCTAATGTGAAACTGCCATCAAAATGGCCAAATACTCCTTCTCATAAATGGATAGATCTGCATGCTTAGGACCCAAAGCTTTACTCAAATAGGCTATAGGTCTTCCTGCTTGAGAAAGAACAGCCCCAATCCCTTTAGAACTCGCATCAGTTTCCAAAAAAAAATTATGCTCAAAATTAGGCAAAGCCAAAACTGGAGCATTACACATAACTTCCTTTAACTTTTCAAAGGCTGTAATAGCTTCTTGAGACCAATAAAACCCATCCTTTTTTAACATATTTGTTAAAGGCTTACTCAGTTCCCCATATCCTCTGATGAATTTTCTGTAGTATCCAGTTAAACCCAAAAATCCTCTTAAAGCTTTCATAATTTTAGGCAAAGGCCACTGCTGCATGGCTTTAATTTTTGTAGGATCTGTAGCCACCCCATCAGCTGATATTAAATGCCCTAGATATTCCACTTGCTGCTGTCCAAAGAAGCACTTACTTCTTTTAGCATATAACTTGTTTTCCAACAGCACCTCCAACACTGTTCTTAGGTGTTGTTTATGCTCTGCCAAGCTAGGACTGTAAACCAAGATATCATCAAAAAATACAAGAACAAATTTCCTTAGATATGCTCCAAACAAATCATTCATTAAAGCCTGAAAAGTAGCTGGAGCATTAGTAAGACCAAATGGCATTACTTTAAACTCATAGTGTCCTTGATGAGTCCTAAAAGCAGTCTTGTAAATATCTTCCTCCTTGATTCTAATTTGCCAATCCTGACCTCAAATCAATTTTTGAGAAGAAAGCAGCCCCATTCAATTCATCTAACAAATCCTCCACTATAGGAATAGGAAACTTATTTTAACTGTAGCGAATTAAGTTTCCTATAATCCACAAAAATCTCAAGTTCCATCTTTCTTTTTAATAAGTAAACATGGAGAAGCAAAATGACTTTTACTCACCTGAATAATAGAAGATGACATCATTTCAGTAATATGTTTCTCAACTTCAGCCTTATGATGATGAGCAAATCTATAAGGTCTAAGGTTTACTGGTTGTGTTCCCTGTTTAAGGACAATTGCATGATCATGTTGTCTACTAGGAGGCATTCCTCTTGGTTCTTCAAAAACTTCTTTAAACTCATCTAGTGGTAAAGAAATTTCACTGCCTTCTACTTCAGCACTTAACAAATAAATCTCTCCATTCAATTCAGTGTCCTTTTATGCTAACTTCTGTAATTTGTCACCTGTGATAGATATGATTAATGGTAGCTTCTGAGACCCTTTAATAACTACAGTTTCTCATTCTTCTCAAAATGATAGTTTTAGTTTTAAAATCCATCATTATAGGGCTGAATCTTCCATCCAATCCACCCCCAAAACCATATCACTACCTCCCAAAGCTAATACTCTGAAGTCATGCTGAAAATCATAGCCTTGCATCTTCCAGCTCACCTTATTACTCCTAGCAGTACTGAACAACTTCTCCCCATTAGCTACTGTGATGACTAATGGTTGGGTATGTACTAATTCAACCCCTTCCTTGGCCCATTTAGGAGTTACAAAACTATGGGTGCTGCCACTATCAATTAGCACATTAATAGGTTTTCCTCTGATAAAACCTTGGATTCTCAGGGTAGTATGCCCCACATTCCCTGTAATAGCATTAATAGAAATTTCCAGAGTCTCTTTAGCTTGATCTTCCCCTTCTCTAATCTCTCCTTCTACTAATTCTTGTTCAGCAGAATCAGTAGGTTCCTCTTCCTCCATACAGTTGAGCTGTCTCACTTTGCACTGATGTCCGGGAGCAAGTTTTTCCCCACATTTAAAACACAAGTTATTGGCTCTTCTGTAATCCAATAAACTCTGTTTGTTACTAGTATTAGGAGGAGCTGTCTTAGGCAAAAACCCCTTATTCCCACTGCTCTGTTGAATATTTGAGGGATTATAAGAAAATTTTGTGTTAGCCACTTTATACTTCTTCCTTTCAATCTCATTAGCCAATTCATAAAGTTTTGCTTGCCTGTAAGCTTCAGATAAATTCTTTGGCTCTAACACCTTCACCTTGTGCTTTAATTCTTCCTTGAGACCACTAATGAAGCTGGACACAAAATAAGCCTCCCCCAGATGCATGTTTTGTTGCAGTAAATAGGGTTTTAGCTCTTCAAATTTTTCTTGATATTCCTCCACACTCCCCTTCTGCATCAACTTATTGAATTCTTCAATAATATCAGAATAGTTTCTGTCCCCAGTACACAAATCAGCACAAATCAGCCAAGTAACTTCCAATATAACCATCAAACCAGGTTTCAGCCTTCCATCTAAGGCAGCTAATTCCAGCTAATTCCAAATTAAAGAACTTCTGACATTTCCTAATCTAGCCCCTGGAGTTGTTACCATCAAACATTGGTAACTCCAATTTGGGTCTCTGTAACACAGCATTTGTATTCCCAAAAGGGTTTTTACAATAGCTTCTAGTATCAACATGTTCATCTCCTTCCCCCTTAGTCTCACTAGAACTACCCATCCTATTTTCTTCTTGCAACTTTGGATTAACAGTTTGATGACCAGTAAACCCCACAGGTTTAGAAGCTAATATCCCAGGTTCATTCGGTTGAAAAGTATATTTCTCATGCTCATTAAGAACCGTAACCAAATAGGGTTGTTTACCTCCATTTTTTGTCCTGTTTCTCAACTGTTGTTGGTTGGTTCTTCACTGACTGAGGTGAATCCTTCTCCTCAACTGCTTGATTGACCAGCTGCAGGATTCTCTGCAAATACCCCCTGTTCTCAGTCATTCCTTCTTCTAGTGTTTGAATCCTTCCTTCCAACTCAGTTTTCTGCTCGGTCCACCACGACGGTAAAGATTCCTCTTTCTCCTCCATGGTCTGTTCTGGTACCTCACTGGTTCCAGTCTTCTGCATCTTCCTTGTCTTTCCCAGCTTGAACTACTTGATTTTGGATCACAAAACCAGCTCTGATTACCAATTTGTTATGATTTAGGATCAGAAATAGAAGAATATTAGGGATTTCAGAAATAGAGAGATTTTAGGTACAGAAAACGTTCTTCACTCATAAGATGAAAAAATCCTTAAAGGATTGGTACAAGTTATATATCTACATTACCAGCTGTCCAAACAGAATCTAAAACAAAATAACCACCTATGCTGACTCTTCTAACAGACTCAAGCCCAATCTTAAAGGCCCAACAGTAATTAAAAGAGAATTAACCTATAGACCCATTAACCCCTCATATGCCTCAGCCGACTCTTCTAATCTCTTCAATTCCCAATTCTTCAGGTATCTCGATCCCTAGCCTTCCAGAGAAATCCCTAATTTCCTTCGAGTCTCCCCCAATTTCTCTGTTGTTTCTTCCCAACTCTTCCCTTCGCGATTTCCCCCGTATCAACACGATCAAACCCTAACCTTCCTGTCATCATAACATAAACACATACAAAGCTCTATCTTTCAGAAAGAAAAAAGAAACCCAATCAAGGGAAAAGGTTTATTTGAAAGGAACAAATTCATCTAAAGAGTAAAAGGACTGGTCAAAAACCTTATCCCTGCAAAAGAATGGGGGGAAACATGATTAGCAATGTTGTTATTCCTGTCCTGTTTTGCAGTTCAAATATAATCAGACTAAATATTAGTAGAGAAAAATGGGACTGTTGTTATTTCATACCGTTCGGCAATAGCACGAACGAGATCCGGTTTAAGGCGGCGATCAACAAATTCTTCAAATTTCTGTATTTTCTCGTGGCGTGAGCTGTGCTTTTCTCTGCCATGTGAAAAGAATTAACCTGTTTTCTACTCGGCTTTATGTCCTGTTTTAGGCACTTAATTGAACGGATAAAAGACATAAGCTTTGGTGTGTGTATATATATATATTTGAAATGATGAGCTTTGGTATATATCGTATGTTAAAAAAGGGGAAAAAGTAAACGCCTTTGAATGCGAAAGTCGCTTTCCAGGTTGAGGGTCGATCGATTGAACTTCTCCGAATGTTCAAGTCGCTCACCCAGTGGAGTTGCATTTTGAACCAAAACGCGCCGAAATGTCGTAAATAGTATAATTAATTAACTTTGTTATTTACCATTTAAATACTAAAAACCTTGGGTTATCAATTAGGGTTTCTTTTTCTTTTTTGATTAATAACTCCGACTGCCAGTGTCTTGGACAGAAGAGAAATTGCATGAAAACCATAGGACATCCATGAGAATTCAAACGATTCTGTATTTTAATTTAACCAAAACTAGACATCGAAATATTTTCTAAGAAAGTCCCGTTCTTTGTTTTCCTTTGAATGGGTAGATGGAGAGCTGCTGCTTCAATTCTCTTGAACCACTTAAACAAAACCCCTTCCCTTCTCATCAATTCATTTCACCCAAATCTCTTTTCCGATCCCCTTCTTTGAACCGACTTCCTCGCTTTCTCTTTACAACACAATTCTCCGCTCTGCCCTCTCGAGTTCCAGTTTATACCAGCGATTCCGATCATGGGTCTCTTGAATTTTCTCTCCATAATCATGGATTTGATTCCCAAGATGAAGATGAGGAACTCGATAAGATACCCATAAAAGCTTATTTCCTTTGCACCAGGTTTGCTTCCTAATACTTGATGTTCTATATTCGAAGCTTTAGTTGTTTCTGGATAGTTCTATATTGCTTTTTTGTTGTTGTGGTGGTGGCGGGTTGGTTTTTCTCATATATATGGTTTTGGCAGTATTGATTTGAAGAGTATGCAAGCTGAGAATTTAAGCAACACTATACCTCCTTCCTCTCGTTCATCAAATTATATTGCCCTCAGATTTTGCGATTTCCCTCCAGATATTACTGTAAGATGTTCAGCAAAAGATTTTGTTTTTTCTGCTTCAGTTAAACGTATTCATAAGTAGCTATATTCCCACTGTGAAGCAATTTCATGGTTAAAGGAGATTTTCCTTGTAGTCGCTTCCTTTGATCATTGAGAAATCTATTGTTTTGAATTGATAGAGATGTATCAGTTGTTTTAAAGCTTCCCTATAATAAACCAGGTCTTTAAGCATTGGACATGCATAAAAGAAAGCAGTCTTTGCCATGATGAAATTTGATTATGATTGTTTCCATAGCATCCTCGGGTCATTTTTCGTTTTTTTACCTTCGTCTACCTTTATCTCTGGAGTCCAATACTTCTTTCCTCTATTAACCGAGTTGGATATGTGGTGCTGTTCATTAAGAATGTTATGAGTTGAGTAACATTTTAGGATGAACTTGAAATGTTATTTCTGTGAGGAATCTGTCAAGTTTGCAACTAGCAGCTTTTGGTATTGTTTGATTGAGCAGTATCTTTTCTCCAATTGGATTTAGGCTCTTGGGATGAGAAACAAAGCCAGCTGCTGTCGTTATATGGTTGTCTTTCAGTATGGATCTGCTGTCTTGTTTAATGTTGAGGACCATGAAGTCGAGAGCCACCTCGAAATGGTTAGGAGACATGCTTCTGGATGGCTTACAGAAATGAGGAGAGATGGTAAATTCTTTTGCTGTCTTTGTTCTTTCCTTTGGGGTTGAGGTACATTTAGTATCCTATATTAGAAACTAATTTTTTGTTTGAATGTTTGCATTAGATTACACTGTAAAGGAGCAGCCACTATTGACAAAGGATATGCAGGGAGGACCTGACTACATCGTTCTCAAAACTTTGGACACGGATAGCATCCGCATTATCGGAAGTGTTCTTGGTCAAAGCATTGCATTGGATTATTTTGTTTCACAGGTACTAACGTAAATTTCCATAGAAGCACAGATATTTAGCTTATTACAAAAAGAAGTGTTTGCTTAGATACCATATTTCTCATTCCAAATGATTCCTGGCTTGAAAGCCTGTTATTCTGCTAGGTGTTTCCTGTGGAGATTGAATATGATTTTTCTCCATGTCTCTAGGTTGATGGAATGGTTGAAGGATTTGCTGACATAAATCGCGCAATGGAAAAGACTGGAACTTTCACAATGGATAGGACAAGCCTCATTAAACTCGTTGGAAAAGCCAATTCGAATTTGGCCGATGTAATTCTTAAAGTCGGTCTTTTTGAGAGGTAAATCTCTATCAAAATCGTCAGCCTTACATAATGCTGTGGTGTGTGGCAACAAATTGGACTAACAAGACATTTTTTTTAAACCGAACCTGATATCTGCTGGTTTTGTTTCATTATTCAGATCAGAAATTGCTTGGAGGGAAGCAAAATATGCTCAAATATATGAGTACCTTCGAGAAGAGTATGAGGTGACACAACGCTTCGGGAATCTGGATTTCAAGCTAAAATTTGTTGAGGTACCTTCATGTTTCTTTTACACTTGTATTAATTTCATTCCCATTGAATTTCAAAGAAATCTTCTTCAAACTAAAAGATGATGGCATGTTAGAGCTTCAACGTTTACTGTTTACTTCGTTATTGCAGCATAATATTCGTTTCCTTCAAGAAGTTATCCAAAATAGACGGTCTGATCTCTTGGAATGGTGTATCATTTTCTTGTTGACGATCGAGAACGTAATAGCAATATATGAGATTGTCGCGAATCAACCGGAGTTTCTCTGTGATTTGGCTATCTGATGAGGAAGTAAAGATAGGCGAACTGGTTATGGTAGCTCTGAATAGTACGGGAAGATCAGTTATAGCATACATTTTTATGCCACCACATCAATTATTTGTAGCAACTATTCTGCAGCAGGCAATCAAAGATAAAGTTTTTGGTTATATTCAAATAGCAACATATTTTATTACGTTTACTAAAAAAACTATATGGTGTATTCAGGCATATTATTTGATAATTTGATTTTTTTTTAAAAACCTATATGGGCTATAACCTTAGGGATGGGCATGGGTCGGGTTTTTGGTCCATCTGACCCGACCGAGAACAAGGAATTCCCCACCCGAGATTGGTTTTCTCTTGTAAAATTTTATATTTATCTTATGTATTATCTCTCACACATTTCATCAAACAGCTTCATTGTAATTTTTAACACAAACAAGTCAACAAATAATGGTCAGCCAGACTGTACCTTTGGAAAAACAACAAAAATATCCGAAAATTTTGTTTTACAGAAGAAAATAGCCAATAGAGATGTAAACGAAGATTAGAATATCCATTTCATAAAATAAATTAACTGTAAATAACTAGGTTATTGCACAGTTAAAACAGTTAAAGAAATTAAATAAAATGGAGGGGTTTAACACAGCAAAATGAGTGAAGTAAGAGGAAAAGATTTTCCCGATGCTGTAGAGGTTTCCAGTTCTATGAGGGAATGGAGTTTCAATCTCCAAAATCTCATCCATTTTGCCTCCATAAGCAACGAGCACCATTTTGCTTCTTGCTCGTGAATCTTTATCCATAATCCTTCAAACGTTGTTTTGGGACTGTTACGTATTCAGATTGAGCCCAACTCATCTCGAAGAAATCTTCTTCACGATTTCAAGTTCCGGAAATTTCTCTTCCATCAATGAAACAAGTTCATTCGTGCCATCGAGAAATACGGCTTTAAAACTTGTTTGAATCATAGTTTTCTCGTATTCGCTTGATTTCCACGAATATATGAATTTGGTTCTTCGTAATGAAGAAAAAATAAATTACAGGTGAAGAGACGATGAAAATGGTGTTTGATAAAATATGTGAGACAAAATATATATGTTAAAGTCAATGAGTGTTGGCACAAATAGTTCAGATTCAAGAATAAAATGTAATTAAAGCATTTTGGAATTTGGGGTTTTGAATGTAATTGATGTTTGTATTGCAAGTTTTAAAAGTTGAGGGACCTAAATGCAAACGGCTGAAAAGTTCAGTGATCATTTATATAATTTACCCTAACGGCAGTGAAACGGCCGTTACGTCGGGACCATATTATAAACGAACTAAATGTTTGGTGATTGTATTGCAAGTTTTAAAAGTTGAGGGACCTAAATGCAAGAATTTGAAAAGTCCAGTGACCATTTATATAATTTACCCTAGGCTTGTAAACGAACCGAACGTACACGAACGGAGGTATGTTCATGTTTGTTCATTTAATAAATAAACGAACATAAATGAACACGAACATAAACGAACCAATTTTTTTTTGTTCATGTTCGTTCATTAAGGAATATAGCTTGTTCATGTTCGTTCATTTAAATGATAAACGAACACACACGAACGAATATAAACAAACATAATAAATGAACATAACGAACAACACAAATACAAAAAACAAACTTATTCGAACACAACAAATGAATCTAAAAATAGTAAACAACAAGAATAACAACTTAAAATTCATTAATATAACCTGTAACTTTAGAGTTAATTTGTTCTAATACGACAAAAACATACATAAATCATAAATAAACTATATGAACATAATGAATTCTTAAAGTTAATTTGTTCAACTAAACAATCTTCTTGAAATCTAAACAACTTCAATAATCTTCGTAACATATTTAACTTGCCCTCTGTTCGAACATAAATGAGCATAAATGAACAAAAATGAACGAACATAAGCGAACATTTAATCGAAAGTTCACGAACGTAAATGAACGAACAAGCCCTTTGTTCGTGTTCATTCATTTAATTAATCGAACACAAAATCTTGTTCATGTTCGTTCATTTAATAAATAAATGAACATAAACGAATTCCGCTACACGGTTCATGAACGATTTGCTGAACGTTCAGTTCATTTACCCTTTTATTTAGTGCGCCGTGTGCTTCTTGGTAGGGTGTGTAGTTCAAATGTTTGATTTTAACTAGAAATTCCAGTTCAACTAAAGGGGTTTTTTTGGGCTTAAATTAAT